TTGTTGACTGATTTTCGTAATTTTCGAGGACAGAAATCGAAGCTGCTGAAGTGTTTCGAGTGGCGATGCAGTGATTTGTCAAGAATCTGGACGATTTGGGTGTGATGGCCGTCAAATACCTCAGAAGGCGATGGTAGAGGGACTTTAAAGGCAATGTGGTCTCAAAGGAAGATGGAGGGAGCGACTGGGAGTGGCTATTTGACTGGTAAATTAGCATTTTGACCTATTTTACCGCGGTAAAATAGCTATTTTTCCTCCGGGGCTCCGCCCCGGACCCCGGTCAAACAGACCGTAATTTACACCTGTAAATTAGGTCAAACAGGTCCCCGCTGGGACCAAAGGTAAATTACTCATGTCAACTAGGCCTCCGACCTATTTCCCGCCACACTACGGGCCTGAGGCTGCCCTCCCCGTTTTTGCGCTTGGGCGTGCACCTTTCTCCCTCCTTCCGTCGCGCGCGCTCGGCCCCTTCGTCTTTCCTGTTCTCCCCACTCCAATCCCTTCACTTCCACGACGCATGCCTTTCTCCCCCTCCCCCTCCTTCCCTCGCGCGCGCTCGCCCTCCGCTACGCCCCCCGTATCACACCATCCATCCTTCGTTTCCTCTTCGGTTCTTATTAGCACACTTCGCTCTCTGCCCTCCTCCCCCCCGCCCGCACTGTATTAACACCCCCCCCCAGCTGCCCCACCCAAACTGAGAACGGCATCGACGGCGTCCCGCGCCACCGCGGCGAGGCAGACGAGGCGCTCGCCGCGGGCATCGGGCTCAGCCTTGGCGAGTCGGACTCGGGGCTCGCGAGCGTGATGAAGCCTAAGCCGAAGCCGGGGGGTGCCGGGCTTGAAAGGTGTGGCGGGCAGGGCGGCGCGTTCGCCGGTAAACGGGCTAGGTGGGTCTGGGATGGCGCAGAACGGGGGTGCAGGCGCGGCGGGTGGGGTAAAGACGGGGATAAGGGGCGCGGGAGGCTACAACTTCGGATGGGGAAGATGACGCGGATGGCGATGCGGATGCGGACGCGGATGGGGAGGAGGGCGGGGAGAGCAGTGGGGGGAGTGGGAGTGGGAGCGGGAGCAGCGTGACGCCCACGCCAGCCGCGAATCTGGGGCGCGAGGTGGCGCCCGCGCGTCTGCGGCCTCGGACAGCGCGCGCACGTCGCGGCCGTTGTCTGCATCTGGATCGCCGGGGACGCCGCCATCTGCGACAGCGACGTCGACACCAGCGCAGCCACGGACACGCAACGACACGCATACCAGCGTAGACAGCGCAGACACGCACAGTGATGCCCGCACGTCGTTCTCCTCGCGCGCGGCGGCAGCGGCCGCGTACGCGGAGTGCGGAGACGGTGCAGGCTGAGGCGACGCACGAGCAGTGACACAAGCCGCATAGCGGCGCGATGCACGCTGTGCATAGCGGCGCGGCACATCGTGGGCTTAGTATTCTACGGCTGGTGCGGGGGTGGGCGCGGTGCGGGGGCGGGGGCAGGAGCGGTAGGCGTTCACCACCCACCGTGGGTGTCGGCTTATGGATATCCAAGTCCGCACACAAATCCGTACCCCAAATCCCCACTCCGCACGCCAATACTCAAGCGGACGTGCACACACATCCCCACCCGCGCGCGCACGGGGAGCGAGAGCGGGGGAGGCGTGATGTGGTTATTTCTTCTGGGTTTCTCTGCGCCTGGATCTGGGCCTCAATTTTCTTGGGCGCCGTGACGTCACAATCCAGGCCGTGTTTACCGGGAACTGTTTCTGGCGAAGTTTTTTTCTTTCTTTGTTGCTGGCGGCATTTCTTTGGAGGCGGCTTCTGGCGACTTGATTTTGGTCGCATCGGTATTATCACAGGTGTTTCCCTTTCCGCGCGGTCTGGATGTCCTATCGCTTACTTCGGGTTTCCTGCCTGCTTCACCGCCCACGGCTTGCTTCGGTTTCGCATCTCTTAGTGCTCTCGACATCCACGAACCTCGATCGCACGTCCTGCTTCCGGAGCGCTTTGCTTATTTGATCTCCCACCCGGCGCAAGTGCCCTCTCTCGCTCTAATCGTTGTGGATTCCCTGCTCCCGAAATCCGATTTGTGTCTTTGTCCTTCTACACGAGCCGGCCCCCCATCCCTTATGTATGTATTGTAGATACCGTCAATGCTATTGATCTTAACGACACCGTCAGTCCTCGTGCATAACAACAACAGCTTTCTAGATCCTATTAGGTTCTTAGCAACACCAAGTGTTCTTCCAGAGTGGACCTGATGTGGTGACGATTCGGGGGATATTCAGAATAAGTAACGAACTACAGGTATGAGGAAGACGGATCTCAGTCTCAACGGTGCGTAATAAATAGTCATGGTGGAACTGCTGCACAGTAACCTCTGGCTTGAGCGTATGAGTGATCATAATATACGCTAATGAGACCGTAAAATGAGGGAATTGAGCGCAGGAATGGGATCGATGTGAGTAAAACTGGCGTGCAAGATGTTGGAGAGCCGGAGTGGTAACTCTACCCGAGAGGACTCCTGTTAAGTAGCATCAGATTGAAGGCACCTCAGACTCCAGAGGCGCCACGGGTGATAGCCGCCCGGAGTAGACTGTACAAGGGCAGCAGCGGCAATGCTGAACTTGAAAGAGCTTGGTGCAAAAAAATTGTCACGGAAGCTAAATTCCGCAAGGTAGGGGGGATGGGATGGCTTCAGTACTCGTTCCGTATAGCGACCGCAAATCGCGATACCTTCAGCTTTTTTAAATATATCCCTTTAATTTTAATTACTGATTGCATACAATGATGTTTTGACACCAGGATCAAGACGATATTCGGAGGAATTTGAAAAGAGGTATTATGTAGTAATTACGGTAGATTTCGTTCCATAACAGTAATTGTAGGAATGGATGGAAATGCCGCACGATAGGTCGCTTCTGCTTTAATCGTATAAAGGATGTGCAAGGATGCCAGAGTACAGCGAGACCGTAAAATGAGCGCAGTGACGTTGGGAATGGCGTCAGCCTCGTTGTCCGGGATCGTAAGGTGCTGGAGAGCAGGAGTGGTGAGTGCTTCCAGGAGCTCTTTTTGACCTGCGCCGTGTCCGAACTCCAGCGAGTGCAGGTGCCTCAGAGGCGCCACGGGAAATAGGTTCCCAATGTCAACATCAACATAGTCGCAGCAAAACTCCCGAAGGGTAGCGGAATGCTGCAATATTTCGGTGCATTCAGTGAAAATCAGAAACTTGGCAGAAATGCTTGTTAACTGCGACCACGGCCGCTGAATCTCGGAAGGCCTAAAGTTGCTGAAAAGGGCGACCTGCGTTAAAAGCGGGGCATTACTGAACGGCAATATTGCATCTAGTGAGTCGGTCTCTCCCGCATACTCGGTGGGCCCCAAAGTCAAGGAACGGAGTAAGGGGAAGTCCGCTCCAATCAATCGAAGCATTTCAATGGGTAGCTTGAGGTCGATGTCTTCCCAACGCTCGGAGTGAGGTATAATGGCTTGGATGAAATCAACTATGACCATCCCACTGTAGGAGGACAGGAAAATCGATAGCGGGCAATTTTTGGAGCGTGATACCCAAGTTCTGAGTAAATCCAGCGCCACGGCCAAATACTTTGTTGAAAGACTCAATTCGATGGCTCGCCAGAGTCGCGGCGTGCTGAGCGCTATTTCGCGCCATGTCCGGCAAATCTGGCCGAGTATGTGCGGCGAGAAGAGTCCAATGGCTGGTGGGCGCTCGGGATAAGGTGGAAGGAAGTGGACAAATATTTCAGAGGTGATTTCAGTGGGAAGGGTAAGGATGGGGTATTTGTACGCGTCGAGACGTGTCTGCAAGGCCTGCCGCTCCAACCTGACAGCGTCGGGAGCTTGCTCCAGTGCCAGGATCTGGGCATCCAAGTCGGTCGTGCGTTCCCGAATATCTGACCAGGTGGATCTCCCGTTCGCGCTTCGATTCCGACTTGGCGTCGTATCAGACTCGGAGAGCAGAGAGCCAAGATGATGAGGGTTGGTCATGGGTACTGAATATGAATTTCCTGTGAAGAGCTTAGAGCTCAGTAGAGCAACTAATTGAGCTCCTACCTGTACTTATTCTTCGGAAGGTCGTGGCAACAGCGGGAGTGGCAGGAGGCGATGCACTTGTGTTTGGTAATCTATCCCACGTGTTGCGCATCAGTCCCGGCCTCAATCCAAGCAACGCGTCCTCGTTTTCTCCCAGATGCCATTGTCTAGTATCCTCTGTATTTCCAGAGCTCCTGCACGCTTATTGAACCCCGGCTCATCCCGGTTTTCATTCCTGGTGCCGTAATGTCGTTGCCACGCGCACGGCGGGCCGTATTTACCGCCTGCGCCGAGCAGAACCTGAATTTCATTATGTGAAATTATTTTCTTCTATAGGCCGCATTATACATTATTTGGATGCCTTCTGGCGACACACTGGTACATTACAATTCTGTATTCTCTTGCTCTGAGTTGCTGACTGTGGGTTCTGTATCTTTCTGCGGATCGGGATACTTCTTCAAGATGAAATAATCGAAACTCGCTTGCGCTGCGCATCTCATTCCTGACATACAAATTTAATTTAATTTTAAGTTGTATGTGATACTAATTTCACCAGTATGTGTAGTATGTGTTTGTCTAGTAAATTTTTGACTGCGATGCGGAGTTTTGTTTCCAATTTTCTCTGAGCTCAAGAGTGACACAATTTCATCAGTAGAGCCTCCCCACCACTTCAGATCTTTACGCCCACTGCTACAATTTTCAAACAAATGTTGGACCATAAAAAGTTCAAACGGTATCAACATGGCCCACCCCCGAATCGAACCGGGAACTTCAAAATTATTTCATGATTTTGTGCGGGTTGAACAAAAGGACTTAACCTCCACATAGTCAAGTGTCCTCAACAGGTGCAGTGGACGCGATACAAATTTCGCTATTAGGTCTTCTTGGTGCAATTTTGCACCTGGTTTACTGCTGTATTTGTTTCCAGCACTTGGTGGGATGATAAAAAAAGTTCGGTGGCAGATTCACATGACCTAACCTCGATTCGAACGAGGGACTTCCACATATTGCAGACTATATTTGACCTGTTGAACCAGAGTGGACGCGATACCAGCTTCGCTACTACGTCTTCCCCCCCTTTACTTGCCCTTGGATGGGTGTGCGCAATCGTTTTGGGTTTTTGGCTGCCACGCACGGATTCGCACCAGCAGGAGTGGATGCGATGCCGACTTCACTATTAGGTCTTCCTCCTATAAACCTGAACCTTGCTTAATACCGGACTATTTCAGACTTCTGGGTAGGGTTGAATGAAACAGAAAAAAAGACTTTGTTTGGGCTTGGTGCACTTGATTGTGGTTAAAAAACAGAGGCACCGGAAATGAGTAGGATCTAATGTCGAGTCGAACGAGGAACTTCCACAAAGAGCCGTGCTTGATACCGAAATATTTAGGGCTTCTGTGAGGGGGGAATAAAAAAAGCATACTACAGTCTACAAGCCAAAGGACCTAACCTCAATTCGAACCAGGGACTTCCACGTAATGATATGTACAGTTTCAACTTGTTGAAATGGAGTGGACGCGATACCAACTCGCTATTAGGTCTCGTTCCTATAATTCGGAACTGGGGTTGTGTGGTGGAATATTTGTAGACTCGTTACCAGTAACCACCGGAAGTGCTTGCCACATATTTCGGCAACTTTTGGTTACAGACTGGTTACGAGTCTAGAATATTTGGGGTTTTTTTTTGCCATTTGGTGAAAAAGGCCAGCCACACGGTAGTAGAGCTGCAAAGAGCCGGAGCCGCCAGTGCACACTGGCAGAAGTCCTAGTGCATAGTTGTCAGCGGAAACATGCGAGTCCGCGCAAGAAACATACAGGCAAGCCGACGGGGAGGCAAGCCGGCGGAGCTGACGTAATCCCGCCGCGACCAAACGGTGACTGGCTTTTGCGCTGGCACTCCCGCTCCTCCACATACGACGGCGGCGACCGAAGATCTGGAGCATAGTAGGGCCAGGAGGAGATGACTCAGTTGACCACGCTTACCGCAAACCAAGTCGGAGGCAGAATCGGAGTTGCCATCTTGAAGATGTCGGCCAGCACACACCGCGTTTGGCATGTTGACGACCGTGTGGACGGAGCCGCCGTGGAGCGGGTGGATGGCGACCACGGGCGACGCGCAAATTTTCGAATAAATTCGTTTTATTCCTTCGTGTGCTCGCCTTCGCTACCTCCCGCTCTTATTCTCCTCTCATCTTCTCCGCTTCTCCTCCACTGCCCTCCGCTTCCCTCCATGGCGTGTCGCGCAGCTAGTGCGCCCTCATTCCCGTACTGCCTTCCTTCCTTCCCTCCCTCCGTCCGCACCGCCTCGCGTTCTTCTCTCGCCCTTCTCACACTTCCACGCTCAGTCTGCTATCACCGTATCCCACATCATCTGCTTGTCCATCTTATCTCCCGCCTCACCGCTCCTTTTATCTTCCTTCATCTCCGTCCCGTCTTTGTCTTCATCTTCTTCGTCGTCGTCTTATCCTCGTCCGCCCATGCCACCTCCCCACACCGCTCATGCTCTTCTCTTCCCTTCTCTTCGCGCCTTCCTACATCTCTTTCTTCATCCTTACTACATCACATCTCTTCCACAGCGCCGTTTCCGCCCCGCTCTCCATGTGCGCTTCCACGCGGCCTGTACACAACTAAATTACTCCCCCCGTGCCGATTCCTCGTACACCCTCCCGCACCATATCCCGTCCCTTCGTCCTCGGCTCCCACTCGTCACTCCTTCCTGCTCGTTCATCCTCTGTCGCCGCGTCCGTTCCCCCTTTCTCGCACCGCCCGCACAACCCTTCAGCCCCAGTGAGAAGTCCATATGCGGACGTATGCGGAGATCGACTGAGATCTGAGAAATATGTTCTCCTCTGAAATCATATGAACATGAAATGAGACTTGCCTGAAAATCTTGCCCGAAAGGCCCGTTCTCAACTCTTTTCGCTTTTTGCATACTTCCCGGCTACTTCGGGCACTTCGGAATCGGAGTTTGAAATTGACTTTGTCTTCCACACCAGCATCGTCACGTCCATTCGAGTCCCCTTGTTCTCGCTGGCTGCCGCCGTGCTCAGATTCACTTCGAAATGTCTCTGGACTGTCTCTGGACCTCGGCGGCTGTCAAACGAGTCCAACTGTGTGCTGCCTTTTGACAAGAATGAGGCTGTCCATCTTGCGATCTTGGCTCTTTTCCTGCTGGGATATCATTCTCATATGTGTTCACTCATCGCCTGGGACATCCTCAGCAACATCCCCGAGCAGCGAGTGCTTGGGTTCGCACAGGATCTTCGCGTAAGTGTTCTAGCAGACGCTGCAAGACAGAACGAACGGGCTCATGGTGATCGTGCTAGGTTGGACGGTGGGATTGACCTGCAGGCTCGCGTTGTGCATTTGAAGTAGATCTGCAGCGCCACAAACTGGAGGCGAGGCTATAAGCATCGGTACATCCACACTTTCCTCCATTTTTAGCCACTTTTTGGAGCTATTCTTCTTCCGCCCAGGTTTTATTCTACAGATCGGTCTCTTGGATGTAGCCTGTGCGCCAGAGTACGTCATACTTCTATCTCCCGCCTCGTCTGCTCTCAAATAACCCGGATCCAGCGCTGCCCATCTCCAAACGCCGCCTGCGCTGTGTGATGATTGCGTCGGGAGCGAACAGGTCCAGGACGGCAGTGACATGACTCCGAAAGGCGAGCATCTCCTCTACCTTTCTCCCTCCCGCTCGCCTCACTCTCACCGCGGGGTCCTCGACTGGGAGCCACCGTCTGCGCGCACCCAACGCGCTTCCGGACCCTCCAGTGGACACGGGGGTCAGTGGCGCGGTGATGTGCGCGCACGACGATGCTGTATGCGCGCGCGGGCGTTGAGGGCTTCCACATCGAGGACCGTGTCCGAAGGTCCGTCTGGCAGGTTTCTCACACCACCGCGCTAACTCGTCGACCAGCGCTGCGGCCACCTCACGAGCAAGCAGATCGTACGGTACGAGCTGCGAGTCGTACCACTCGCGGAGTATCGCGCGCGTGGGTCTCAGGTCGGATACCGTGATCGTCACGCGCTCAGACGCGGGCGTGTCGACGAGGCGATCGCGCGGTGCAGGGGCGACGGTCGAGGTGGGCACGGACGTCTCGTTCGTAGAGGTGCTGCACACGTAGGACGACGCGCGGCGGGCGGTCAGTGCGCTAGCGCCGACGGCGGTGTTGCTGAACCTCGCGACGGGCTTCTGACGCCGAACTCGACGGTCGCGCAGACGCGCGAGATGGGCCTCCGGGTGGTCATATTGCAATGTGCAGTGCGTGCGGCGTACCGAGAGATCCAAAGGAGCGGGACGGACGTGCAGAGCTGTGGGGGCGCTGATGCGCTATATTTCGCGGGAGCAGAGCAGCGAACGACAGTCTGCGGGAGTACTTCGGGCGGCGCTGTTGATGCGCTTTGTGGTGTATGAGACCCGGAGTAGATGGTGGGTCCGAGGGCACAGCGGAGGGACGGCTGAAGATACTGGGAGCACGGGGAGCAGGGCGCGCAGGGCGGGGCGGGTACCGGGAATGTAATAATACCCAAAGCAATATAAATATGTATATATTTCATGAACTCCACAGATATTTCATATGGGTAGCGATGTCCGCAGATGGGCCATATGAAAACGGCCACTTTTGAAGCCTGTGGTAGGTTGTGGTAGGAAAAGTTGGCAGGCGCATATCTCAGCCGATCTCCGCATATCTCCGCATATGGACTTCTCACTGGGCTTCAGCCCCCACCCCATCCCCGTCCGCTTCGCATCGTTTCGCCCATCTTTTGGACAACATGCGCGCGCGCCTTCCCCCTTTCTCTCCTACCGTTTGTACCGTCCTCCTCCCTCTCATCGAGCGCGCCCAGCCACCCTTTCGCTCCGCTCTTTCCTCCCTTCCGGCACCCGCGATCACACGCACTGGCGCTCGCCCGCCCTTCGTCCCTTTTTCTCTCCTACCCCCCTTTTCGGCCTGTTCTCTGCCCTCCGCTTCACATGGCCCGTGTTGGAGTTTGGGTTTGCGCGCTCGCCTTTCCCCCCCATTTCGCCCTTGTACCGCCCTCCCTCCTTTCTCCCGGCGCGCGTGCTCGTCCATCCTTCCTCTTTTTCTGTTCTTCCCACTCCACGCCCCGTTCATTTCGTGTCTCCGCCGCCGCGCGCTTGCGTCATCCTGTCCACTCCCTTTTTCACCTTCACCTTCCTCCGTTTTCGCTTCTCTGTCTCTTTCTGTTATCCCAAACTAACACACCCCCAGCTGCCCACCCAAACCCAGATCGGCGTCGACGGCGACCCGCGCTGCCGCGGCGAGGCGGACGGGGTGCTCGCCGTGGGCATCGGGCTCGGCCTGGGCGAGCTGGGCTCGGGGCTCGCGAGCGTGGTGAAGCCGAAGCCGAGGGGGAGAGGGAGTGCCGGGTTTGAAGGGCGTGGTGGGCAGGGCGGCGCGTTCACCGGTGAAGGGGTTCGGTGGGGCTGGGATGGCGCGGGATGGCGGTGCAGGCGCGGCGAGTGGAGCAAAGAAGGGCGTAAGGAGTGCGGGGAAGAGGAGGAGTCGCGGGGAGGCGATATCTTTGGGTGGGGAGGTCGCCGAGGACGCGGATGGGGAGGAGGGGGGGTAGTGCGAGCGGGAGGGGGAGCAGCGTTACGCCGACGCCGGCCGCGAATCTGCGGCGCTGCGCCGTCTGCACCGTCCACGCGCAACCCAACGCGGACGGTGCAGACCACGGGGAAACGCGGAGCGTCTGGGGCGGGTGGTGACTCGGATTCTAGACTGCAGCGTCCTGGCGGCACCCCGACGCCGGTAGCGGCCCGGCTCCGTGTCGTTGTTCGCGAGCGCGCGCGCGTGGGGCCGGTGTCGTCGTTCGGTAGCGCGTACGCATCGCCGGTCGGTAGTACGTACGTACGCATCGCATTCGCCGCTGCTGTCTGTGTCTGGATCGCCTCTGTCTGCATCTACGGTGCCGACACAAACACGCACATCGACCGGGCGCGGGCGCGGGCGGGGTGTAGCTGGGGCAGCAACCGTACGCATAGGCCTACATCGCGAGTGCGTGGGTTTATTATCCGGCGGCTGGGGTGGGAGGGTGTGCGCGTGCGCGTGGGGGTCAGGGGCGGTCAATCTAGCAGCAAGAGCAAGCGCAGGCGCAGGCGTGCACGACGCACCCCGCCGTAGACATCCATGGACGCAAATTCATAAGCACATTCCGATTCAATCGAGACTCGAGTCTGCATGCACACGCACATACCCGGACGCACGCGCAGGAGGAAGAGAGCGAGCGGGGAGAGTGGCGGGTCTTCTTGTACAGCTTTCCTGGAGTCTCTGCGCATGCATTTCTGGGAGTCGAGGTCTTTCTGTACGCTTTTTTCTTTTCTTTCTTAGGCGCCGTGACGTCACAATCCGGGCCGTTTTTACCGGGAGCTGTACTTGATATTCTCTCTCTCCGGGCGTCTTTCTGCGCGATCCGGATGTTCTCTCTGTGGTTTTCTGGTTGCTTTCGCCGCCGACTTTTCCAAGCGGCTTGCTTCGGTCTCATTGTTTGTGCTCTCGACGTCCACCAAACTGGATCGCGTGCCAAGCTTTCAATTTGATTCCCCTAGTTGGACAAGGAGGCAACTGGCGTCACTTGATCTCCCACCCGGAACCGTTTATACAAGTGCCCTCTCACTCTAATTGTCTATGAACCCCCTCGCTGAAGAGAATTCATAGACTACCTAACTCCGATTCGTATCTTTCTGCGTGCGCCAATCTATTATCTAACATCTGTTCTGTCCATCTCAAAACACTTTCTCCGTTCAAAGTCGCGTGGTCTAGGTTGATACTTACTAACCGATACTGTTGCTATTGTATCTTTTAATGTGGATAGTCGAGCCATGTACCTCTTCCATGCTATTGATCCTGACTACACCGTTGTCCTTTGCGTGACACATCCAGAGTTCACGTGCATGATTAGATTTTGCGGTACTTAATCTGTCAGTTCGCCTGCTCTGCGGGTGCACTTCGGTTTGTCGCATTTAATTGGAATGGGGTTGGTTTTGCTAGTGTTCCGTTGATTGGATGCATCATGTATTTTCTTTCCCTTCATCATCATGCAGACATTCATTCGGTCCGATTTTACAAGACCAAAATATCCACTTGATATCGACACTTTTCTTCGCTGGACACGTTTGCGACAGGGGGGGCTAGATTTTCTAACCATATTTGATACTGGCAGTTCATCCTATAATTACGACGGAAGACAAGCTTGAAGGTGATGATAGACCTCGGCTTCTAACAGTAATAGTGGGAATGGATGGGAATGCTGCACGATAGGTCGCTACTGCTTTACTCGTATAAAGGAAGTGCAAGGATTCCAAAGTACAGTGAGACCTTAAAATGAGCGCAGTGACGTTGGGAATAGCGTCAAACCGGTTGTCCGGGATCGTAAGATGTCGGAGAGCGGGAGTAGTGAGTACTTCCAGGAGCCGTTGGTGACTCAAGTCGCCTCCGAACTTCAGCGAGTGCAGGTGCCTCAGAGGCGCCACGGGCAATAGATTACTGGAGAGAAAGCCATCGTCAAGAGTGTTGCAGCGAAACTCCCGAAGGGCAACGGAATGCTGCATTATTTCGGCGCATTCAGCTGAAGACAAACGTTGGGCAGAGATGCTCGTTAACTGCGGCCACGGCAGCTGAATCTCGAACGGCCCAAAGTCGTTGGAAAGGGCGACCTGTTTTAAAAGCGGCGCATTACTGAACGGCGATATTGCATCCTGTGAGTCGGTCATTCTCGCATGGTGGGTGGGGCCCAATGTTAGGGAACGGAGTAAGGGGAAGTCCGCTCCAATCAATCGAAGTGATTTAATGGGCAGCATGAAGTCGATGTGTTCCCAGCGCTCAGAATGAGGTATGATTGCCTGGATGAAATTAATGCTGAGCAGCCGAGTGGAGGATTGCAAGGAAATGGATAGAGCGCAATCTTTGGAGCGTGATACCCAAGTTCTGAGTAAATCCAACGCCCAGGTCGGAGACTTCGTCGGAAGATTCAATTCAATGGCTCTCCAGAGTTGCGGCGTGCTCAGCGCTATTTCACGCCATGTGCGACAGATCTGGCAGAGAAATTCCGGGGAGAAGAGTCCAGTGACCGGTGGGCGTTCAGGGTAAGGTGGGAGGAAGTGGACAAATATTTCCGACGTGATTTCGGTGGGAAGGGTAAGGATGGGGTATTTGTAGGCGTCGAGACGCGTCTGCAGGTCCTGCCGCTCCAACCTGACAGCGTCGGGAGCTTTCTCCAGTGCCAGGATCTGGGCATCCAAGCCGGTCATGCGTTCCCGACTATGTGACTGGGTGGATCTCCCGTTTGAAGCGCTCCGATTCCGACTTCGCGTCGTATCAGAGAGTGGCAGAGAGTCGGGATTAGGGTAGGTCCTGAGTATTGAAAGTCCTGCAAAGAGCTTAGAACTCAGTAGGTAGGTAGGTAGGTAGAACAACTAATTGAGCTCCTACCTGTACTTATTCTTCAGAAGGTCGTGGTAACAGAGAGAGTGGCAGGAGGCGATGCACTTGTGTTTGGTATCTACCCACGTGGTGCACATCTCCCGGCCTCGATCCAAACACCGCGTACTCGTGCTTTCTCCCCGGATCCCATTCTCTAGTGTCCTCTGCACGTATTTCCAGAGCCTATGCGCGCTTATTGAGCCCCGGCTCAGCCCGGTTTTCCGGCGCTTTCATTCCTGGCGCCGTGATGTCATCGCCACGCGCGCGGCGGGCCGCAGTTACCGCCTGCGCCTAACGGAACCGTCTGAATTTCATTAATGTAATTTCTGGCGAAGATTTTCTTCTATAGGCCACATTATACATTATTTGGATGCCTTCTGGCGACACACTGGCACATTACAACTCTGTGTTCTCTTGCTCTGGCCCCTGGGAGTTCTTTGCCTCACAACATTTGTCAAGTTCATGCTCACTGTGGGTTCGGTATCTTTCTGCGGATCGGGATACCTCCTCAGGATGAACTAATCGAAACTTGCTTGCGCTGCGCATCTCATCCCTGACACAAAAATTTCAATCAATTTTAAAGTGTATGTGATACTAGTTTCGCCAGTAAGTGTTTGTCTAGTAAATTTTTCGACTACGATGCGGAGTTTTGTTTCCAATTTCCTCTAAGCTCAAGAGTGACGCAATTTCATCAGTAGACCCTCCTCACCACCTGGGATCTTTGCGCCCACTGCTACAATTTTCAAATGAATGTCGGACCATAAAAGCTTCAAACGGTATCAACATGTCCACCCCCGAATCGAATGGGAACTTCCGCCCTCATCTCACTCCAGTGGAAAGAATGCGCCATAGATGCAGTGATACCAGTTTCACTTCCTCTCAAATAGCTCAAATTACTCGAGCCTGAGCCTGGGCTCATCTAGCAATCTTTTTTCTGTCAAAGGGACAACAATGTGTTTACTCCAGTTCAATATTTCCAACTTTACAAGTTGAAAACAATTGATTTGCCAAATTCATCAAAACACCTGTCCACCCTCGCCAGAGCTCACTTTTCTTTTAGTAAGATCCGGGAGCTTCCACCCGCATCCACTGGTGCCTATTCCCCGTTTAGTTACCCTCGGATAGATGTGGGATCACTTTGCACTGTTGGGTGTGGGTTGAATAAGAACGTCGCGGATTGGCAGGACCTACCAGTAACCTTGGAACGAATGAGGGTCTTCCACATAATCATGGTGATACTTCGGAAAATGCGATGCCGGTTTCGCCCTTTGGATAGATTTGCGATAGTTTCAGGCTTTGGGATGAGGTGAAGAAAAAGAAATAAAAGATTTCGATGTTTTTTTTATGACAAACAACCATGATGATGAGGGAGAAAAAGAACCATAGGTCCGAATTTCGGGCTCACGACCTAACCTCGGTTCGAACGAGGGACTTCCACCTTGACTCATGTACTTGCGGATGTCTAAGTGCAGTGGACACGATGCCAATTTCGCTATTAGGTCTTGTTCCTATCATTTGGAACTCGGGTTGGTGTGTGATTGTCTCGGGCTTGTTGTGGGGGGGGGGGGGGAAACGGAGACTTCTGTAATGACTTACTTAACCTCGGGACTTCCTGGAAACACAGTGAGTTAGTTGTGGATGCGCCGGCTTCGCCATTAGGCCTTCCTGGTATAATTCTGCACCAGTGAGGTTATTTCAAGCCTTTTGGGGTAAATTGAAAAATAAAAAAAAGTGCTGCGCTGAATCGGACAAGACCTAACCTCGATTCGAACGAGGTACTTCCGCAGACACCCACGGATTCATTATCTTGCCAGCAGGAGTGGATGCGATGCCGACTTCGCTATTAGGTCTTCCTCCTATAAACCTGAACCTTGCTTGATACTGGACTATTCAGACTTTTGGGTGGCTTGAATGAGAAAGAAAAAAAGACTCATGATTGGGCTTGGTGGACTTGATTGTGGTTTAAAAACAGAGGCGCCAGAAATAGGATCTAACCTCGAGTCGAACGAGGAAAGAACCGTGATTGATACCGAGAGGGGATGAAAAAAAAACTTGTGATGGAGATATGACCTAACATCGATTCGAACAAGGGACTTCCACATAATGATACAGTTCCAATTAAAATAGAGTGGACGCGATACCAACTTCGCTATTAGGTCGTTATTCATGTAAATCGGGACTGTTTAATAGGTTGGTGAGTGATTGCCACTGATTATTTGGGGTTTTGGTGATAAGGGAGTCTGGCAGCCACTGGCCCACACGTAGAGCCCGAGTTGGAGCGCAGGCATACATGCAAGTAGTGTATTCCAGTCCGAGCAGGGAAGCCCGCAAGTAATACAAGCAGATAAGCTGATGGCGACGGTGGGCGGAGGCAAGCCGGCGGAGCTGACATAATCCCGCCAGCTTCTGTTCCTGCGCTGGCACCCCTCTGCGGATGGCATTAAGTCGCACTGTCAAACTGGCGAGAATTCAAGTGGCTGAGTCGCACTCGCACCCTTTTCGTCATCCCTCGCGTTTCGCATTTGGGGTCCGGTATTCGCCTTCGTCGGCCGCTCCTCGCCGTGCATCGGGGTTTTAACAGTTTACTTGTTGGGGCTTGTACAAGCTTGTACAGGTGAAAAAAGACCACAACTTGACAAGCTGACCAGTAATATGCGCGGACTGGCAAAGCCGGTCCAGTTCGCCGGCTTCCACCGAGCGTACGGTGAACTCCAGAGGACATGTCAGCCCATCCACTCATGTCCACTGTATCATTACGCATCCGGCAGAATCCACCGTATATTCCACATCCACTGGATATTTCTGAATTACTCCCCATATCATTAAATGCATGTAGTAATTACTTGATCAACAAGTTGATATCTGTTGGTATCCGCAGGAATTGAGGAAAAAAAATGTTAGATTCCAATTATAGATCCAGTGGACACAGTATATTCCAGTGTATTTTCAGTAAAAAATGTAGCGGCTCAGACTGTACATCCACTGGTATCCAGTGTAATCGTCGAGTTCAGTGGATTTCAAGATCAATCCACTTGTCATCCGTTAACGTTGTCCACCGGTCTCCAGCGGATCTTTCTCAAAGTTCACTGGATTTTGCATATAAATCACTGAGCTTGCTGAACAAATCCACTTGATCTCAGCGGATATCCACCGGTTTCCAGTGGATTTTGCATAAAAATCCGACTTGAATGAAATAAAGCAATTGAAGCCATATGTAATCCAGCTATGAACCTGTGGCCAAAATCCAGTATTGTCTTCCTAAGGGGGGGGGGGGGATTTATTATACTCATGTGGTCCAAATGTCTGAACAACGAGTCTACCAAAGACAAACAAGTAGGTATGTATGGGTGGTTATCCTTACATAGATGATTTCATGATGCTGTCCCAATCAGACTGAATGTTTGTAAACTCCAGTTAAGTCCACTGGATCCAATGTCATCCACTGAACGGAGCCATTGTTTCCATCGGATCATGATGGATCAGACGGCAAGCGCAGTGAGGATCAACAGACCACATATATTGTTGATTACATCCACCGTATCAAGGTGATTATCACTGACATCTGATGTACACTGATGTACACCAGCGTCCTTTGTAAGTCCGGGCATATAACTCAAGCCGACAGGCTATGTTCGAAACCCGACAAGTGATTTTTTTTTCCATTTTTTTAAAAGTGCGCATTGACTTCCAGGACCCATTTCCAGTCTTTTTTTTTTTGGAACAAGAAAAACAAGTGTGCAAGTGCGCAAGTGTTTTGTCATTTTGCTGATGTGCTGACACGGCGCTTGGTGTAAAACGTGCGCGTGGAGATCGGATCGCAACATGCGGCGGAGCGCGAGCAGCATGCGGCGGGGCGCGAGCAGTCTGCGCGAGCGAGAGCAGCGCATGCTGGGTATCGGTGGGTTTACGAACCTGACATCCGTTGCTCTTCCTTCCTCATGTTTACTTGCTTCCTGCCCTTCGCGCGTCTTTCCTCGCGGGTCAGGATGGATGGGCGGGTGTATACACCAAATTCCGCCGCTTCCCTCGCACGTCCTCGATGGGATGACGAAAGCGCCGACGGAGCCCGCGATAGGGAGGGAAGGAGGGAGGGAGGGAAGGCAGTCGCAATCCTGTCTCACCCACCACCACGCTGACGCGCTTCCCAGAATCGTTGCCAGCGCAGGCGTCTTCCTGCGGATGCACGTTGGCACCGGCGCATCCATTCACGCTTCGACTCCATACCCGATGCGCGCTCATTGACGGCGGTGCCGGCTTGTCCTCCCAGCGCGATCTCAAACCCACCAGCAGAACGCGCTCGTCGACGTGCGCAGCAGCGCTTCGTGCATCTTTCCTTGCAGAGGTGGGTATCCACCCTTCTTTGCGGAGGTGGGCGTCCATCTTTCTTTGCGAAGGTCGGCATCCATCCTTCTTTGCGATGCGAAGGTGGCGCGGGATGGGATAGGACGGGATGGAGATCACGGCGTGCCCATTGGACTCTGCGGGTCCCAGCCCGGCTGACGCGCGCCCACGCTCACTGCAGAGTTCCGCCGCCCGCGTGCCATCAGCCTCCGAAGGGACGCACCATGAACTGGCTACAGACATGCCTAATTTATTGGTTCATTGCTCTTCCCCGTCTGCTTACTTACAATTACTGACTTCACTTTCCAACACACAGAAATTTTCGCAGCCAGTGTCAATGGTAACTAAAATCTACCACCTCTATTTTTTTCAGCTCAATCTACTATCTTAGACCCCGAAGTGATAATGTCTTTTTATGGCTCTATTTTCGTTCTGTCCGCTGTGCCGTTACCTCTCGGTATTGGTTCGTAGGTTCCTAGACATATGAAAAGTAGTATTCCTGAGTGCCATAATTTTTGGATGCTTTTCGACGAAGTTATGAGATCCCCGAGGATCAGACCTAGAAGTGATAACCCTTTTTGGCGGTGTTTTGATCGCATCAAAAATATAGGTTTTCTTTTTTTTCTGTCCGCCCATTGGGCTCCTAGACTTAAAGAAGTTAACAAAACCTTCGAGAATACATCCTTGCATGTCATTATTTTTTCTCAGAGCACAGGAGTACGAATTACGGTGAGCATCAGTGAATTATCACATCTGAGCCTATTATAGTATGGCTCGATTGATACTTGGTGTAGATCACGCCCGGTCCCGACAAATTATCTGCGAACTACGGTGAAGGAACCGCAAAGCAGCACCGCTGGGGAAGATCCTAGCTCAGATCGTGCAGGTATTCCCATGAAATTCTAATGCGTGAATCGCCCTATCTCAATTCTCGCTAGCTCGTGCGCTCCCAATACCGGCAGACATAGTCTCCCATCCGTAGCAAATATACTATTTCAATGCCTAGTAACCCACCAATCTCAGAATAGCCCTTCTTTCTGCCCGCCTAATTGTGCAACGTCCACCCGACTGTGGAAAGCCTACGACTTCCTGCCAATGCAAGAATCCCCTGTTGAACTATGAATGCATCGCTATTCTCCGCAAGAAACTGGTCTCCAGATATGGACTTCTTTATGGTCCTTCTTCCAATCCACCAACTCTATATGCTGTGAAAATGAACGATGCCCTCTGGACCCGCAGACATCGGCCTTAGATCTCCGAAGGTCTTACTCATTCTTTGCGATCCCTAGATATCATACTGAGCAGCTGCCCATAATTTACGCCGTGAACTCACGCGCTTAATTTTCTACTGGGCTTAATTCTTGGTGCAGAGTATTAATAATTATTCAGCGGTAGAATGGCGGAAGCTGGTGAAATTTAAGGCACCCCTGCCTCCGTATGTCCGTGCCACTTGGCATATACCCGCTTGAGTTCAATCTGCAAGTAGGAAACTGGAAAAATATACGACCACCTGCGGGTTTATCTTCAATTAAAAAACCATCGATACATAATAATACTCGCGCGGACAATATTTTGAACTCACCGCATACTTGTTTGTCTTCTGCAAACTCGTAGTTCATGTTCTGGACTGCATGAGCATAATAACCGCCCCTCCCCCCCTGCATGGTTGCATCTGCTTGAAGGTTTGGAAAAAAATTGCGCTTCATGTTCGTGATGTACTCTGTATTACAGATCCTGCAATGTTCCGCCAATGTCGAGTGCTGCCACATTGCAAGGAAATTCGCCTCAATTCTGTTTTTGGCGTACCCTGGAAACGCGCCCAGGTGCTTTTTCCCCAACGGTCGCGCTATTAAATGAAGTAGAATTCGAGAATCACAGTTCGTGGGTCGGGCAATACATGGCTGTGGGTCCCCAAAAGCCTGGAATAGCAGCAAATAAATCAATACGCACACTGTTCAGATATTCCTTCCACTATTGAAAGTAAGATACAGGTTGTATGACACAATATGCATGGGAGATGGGGTCGAAATGAGGCATGAGGCTGTGTATATCTGGCTCCAGCATTCGTGGCGGCTCAGCGCATGGCCGGAACCAATTGACACAGACCCAGACCGATACATGATGCTGGCGGGCACTGTCGAGGAGCTGGTCCGAGCGTTCAACTGGCGGCTGGAGCGCGGATTACATCGGGATATCGTCTAGGAACGACAGATGACGGGGGGAGAGCAGCGCAACCGCGTTCCTCTGCCAGAATATCCTTCTCCTCACCAACGCCGCCAGAGAGATAAACGCAGAGACCATTGGAGACCCACCCGTCACCGCTTTCGACCACCGTAATATTCGGGTGATGGCCGGTGCTATCCTTTTTGCATAGTAGGTTTTCCTTAACTCGTCTTTCCCTCCGTGGCACTCTAACTTCTAAACTCCAGGACCCGCAATTCCGACCACGTCGCTTCAGAAATCCCTCGCGTGCATATATCCCGCTAATAAGGCTGGTGTCCTACCTTCATTCTCCCTCGCGCGCAGTAGGAAAATACTCCGGCTGTAGAAATGCGCGAACTCCAGACCTTTATTTTGTGTTCGCACGTCAAAAATACGGATATTACTGGGTGTGTTCCATTCAGATTTTTCTTTCTTCAGTACATTCCCTTACAAAAACAACCATTTGGATGACGAAGCCTCGTCTTGCACCCTTAAAGGCGAATGCAGAGATGTCGGGAAAATATCAGTTTGCCTGCAATCGCATCTTATTTCCGTCGATCTCAACCGAGGTCAAACATGTTCTCTTCCAGATGCATTTCTGACGTGCGGCTTGTAA